TATTCCATCAGTATATCTATGGCTTTCAAACACTGGAATTGTAGTTCTGAAGTAGAGATGATTTTGCTTCTTGGAATATTTGGAGATGTTGAAAAGACTGTTATTAATAATCTACCAAACAAAGTATATCACCCACACAAATAATGATCCTGTGCCAATGACAACATAGAAGGTGAGAAAAACAATTTTAGATGAGCAACTCTCCAAGTTCAATGTGCGCAAGAATGGTGAGGAAAATATTGTTATATACAAATTCTAATTCAGCGGGTCCTAGAAAGTTCCAGAGATTCTGCATTTCTAACAAGCACCTGGAGTAGGCTGCAGGTGTAGCTTCTGTTCTGCACACCTCAGCATCTCTCACCAGGCTCTTTGATTCAGCGTTAATCATGTGTATGGAGTTTTAGATCTTTCCTCCAAAAATAACTTTAAAATGATTTTTGAATGAAAATTGTTTTCATTCATACTAGAATCTGCAATCAAATTTGTGCCCAATTTTATATAATGACCTCGAACAACCTTAAATATTATGCATTTGAAAAAGACTTTACCATAGGAAAAATAAGGGCCTCCAAAAGATTTCTACATCCTAATGCCAGAATCTCAGACTACATCAGTTTACATATCAAGGTATGTAGATTAGGTAGTAAGTAGAATGACATTGTTAACCACTTGGGCTTAAGAGTAATATGGCAATTTGCATTTCTTCTTTGAATAAGTGTCTGTTTAGCTCTTCTGCCCATTTTTTTAACTGGATTCTTTGTTTTTGTTGAGTTGTGTGAGTTCTTTGTCTATCTTTGAAATCAATTCCTTATCAGTTGTGTGGAGTGTAAATATTTTCTCCCATTCAGAAGGGTGTCTCTTTGTTTTGGTTATTGTCTCCTTTGCTGTCCAGAAGCTTATTAGTTTGATGTAATCCCAGCTGTTTATCTTTGCTTCAGGGGATGAGTCTCTAAAGATGTTTCTGAGACGTGTGCCATGGAATGTTTTACTAATGTTTTCTTCTATATATTTTATGGTTTCAGGTCTTGTGTTCAAGTCTTTTATCAATTTTGAGTTGTTTTTATATGCATGGTGTGAGGTAGTGGTGTAGCTTCATTCTTTTGCATTTGGTGGTCCAGTTTTCCCAGAACCACTTATTGAACAGACTGTCCTGGTTCCATTTCACAGTCTTTGCTCCTTTAGATACAATGGAATACTATTCAGCAATCAAAACAGATAAATTCATGCTGTTCGCAGCAATATGGATGGAGCTGGAAGGGATTATGCTCAGTGAAATAAGTCCGAAGGAAAGAGAAAAATATCAGATGGTTTCACTTATAGGAGGAATGTAGGGAAAACAAACAAGATCAGGAAAGAAAGATAAAAATAACAGGTAAACTATAAATAGGAGACATTCAGCTGGGGAGGGGGAGAGAGAGGGATCAAAACAAGGGAGGGAAGAGCACAAGAGACTATGGTTATGGTTCACAGGTGTTTCAGTGGTGGTAATTTTATGGGGATTACACCTGAAAGTGTTAGGGGGAAAAGATGTCCTGAGCTAATTCCATACAGGCTTTGTGGATTCCACCCCGACTCCAAACCAAAGTGAAGGTTGCTGGGACCTGAGGGTGGAGTTAAGCAGCCAGGTTTGGTATAAAAACCAAACATATGGGCCCTGGGGGCTCTCTAGCTCTCACTCTCACCTCCTGGCTTCACAGCTCCTGGCTTGTGGACAGCTCTCAGAGTGCCATTTGGGATTCCAGATCGGCAGATCAGGTAGGACACATTTAAAACTTTGTCTCCCACTTTTCTCCCTGAGTTGTACATTTCCTCATTTGCCCTTCCCTTGTAAATAAACCTTTTATTAACTTTTCGTGTGTGCCTGCAGTAGAGTACTGATAAGTCCTTTAAAGCGCTGTGAGGACCCACAGTCAGGCAACCCGTTTTTGTATCTGGGCTACCCTGTAACAAAAGGAGAATGACCAACAATGTAAAAAGTATATAACTAAAAAAAAAGTCAATGTGGGACTAACATGATGGTAATAGCCCTCTAAATGTGGGAAAAGAAGAGCCACAGTAGGGAGAAATTTGAAAATGTTAAGCTTCTCATTATGAAGACAGAGAAAGATCACAAGTCAAGGAAAACTGCACTGCCCTGGGAACTAAAATATGAAAGTAAATGGAATCTCCTGTGGAGTCCCTGGAGGACCCCATCCTTGTAGACATTTTTATTTAAGCCAATGAGGCTAATTTCAGTCTTCTGTCCTCCAAAACAATAAGGCATAAATTTCTCTAAGTCATCAGTAATTTGTTAGTGCAGCAATAGGAACTGAATACTGACATTTATTCCATCTTTTTGGGGGGATACTGGATTTAAGCTTCTTTATTTAAGCTACTCATTTAGCTATCCTTGGTTAAGGAATTTATGTTGAAATTCCAGATTGATTAAGAAAGTCAATTTTAAGTGAATTTGAAAATTTTCTTCCCCACAACTGGTATAGAGAATTATTTCTTAAACATTAATGTGGTTATAACTTTTAGGTCTTTGATATACTCCAGCAAGAATAGCAATTCTTTATTAAAATTTAGGTCACCCATTCTAAATTAAATCCTTTTAATTTTATGTTAATTTAAATGTTCATTCTTTTCAACTCTGTCCTCTCCAACCTCTGCCAAGTTTTTACATCATACAAAATGGAATCAAAAATGAATTGAATAGTCACATATTTGTGTGACTGTTCCTATCTGAATGGAAATGTATGCCAATATACCCAAATATACATGCGTATGACCTTTTTCTTTAATGTCTTCTTTGGACTTAATAAATTTCAAAATATTTCATTGATCCTCCCACAATATCCATCTGTAGAGATATTATAATTGCAGTACAGGAATTTTCAAGCAGAATCAGGAATATAATTTATTAAAATGATAAAACACACCAATCATTTATTGCAAGCATAAAATCCTGGTATATGGACATTAATCTTCTCTACTTCATTGTGTGATGTACAACATGAAAATATATACTTCGCATAATGATAAAATTTAAAATGTTGCTTCCTCATACTTAGGGTCATGTCTGACTTAAAGATTATATTTATCTGTTTATTCAATCTTGCCTTTCAATGTAGACTCCAGTGAGAGACATATGCAATCATCAGGTTTTGCCAGTGAACTGTGTTAAGGGTTCTGGATATCAAGCTGAATAAAGTAGTAAAACCAGGAAAACAATTGTGAAACATAGCAACACATTTGAATTGTAAGTGCCTGACATACAGCTTTTGATTTCTGAGCCATCCAAATCAAAGATATCCATGTCAAATAAACATACATCCAGTTAGAACACAAGCACCCAGGGTGCCCCAGCCATGAAAGTTCCCCAGTAATGTAATATACTGACTCCAACTTTTCATTCCTGTACTCCAGTTGACAGTCTTCTATTTTAAATTTTCCAGTAATGAGTGGACACTTAAAACATTAGAAATCCTCACCTTGGACCTCAATAAGGCAGAACTTCTGGTTCCTGTTCCATCACTACCTGAGACTTAGCTATCTGATCCTAGGGCAGAAGAAGTACCCTCTAGGAACTGTAGTGAGCTTCGTTTTTAAAAAACAAGTTTCCAGTTGGTTGTTACTGAGTTGTGTCTTGCAATAATAATAATAATCACAACAAGGGCTTATACAGCCACAAAACAGACCTTTGTCAAGGAAAGTTCTGTGAGTAGTACTGGCCCATGTGAGTGCTACAAGCTTCCTAGCCAATACCATCACCATCAGTAAGCTAACATAAACAGAATACTGTTAAAATCTTATCATCAGGGTGATTAAAGCATTAATGTAAAAATAATGACAGATCCAAAATGAAAATTGGTTTCATATTTACCTTTATAATGAAAAATATAAATATCTTTAGATGCCAAATATATTTTTTTCCAATATGAGCAATACAATTCATGATTATTCTTTGACAAAATCAAAGGAAAAAGTATTTGGCATGAGGGCCTCCCCGGTGGCGCAGCGGTTGAGCGCTGGGTTGCGAGGCTGCGCGCGGCCTCTACGGCGCCGGTTCGATCCCCGGCTGCTCCCCGGCCACCAGAGGAGGGTCCCACATGGCGCGCAGACCTCTCCTGCCGCCCGCTGCTCCCCTCAGCAGTGTACTTCGGTCCTTCTGCCTGCTCTGCTCCCCGCTCTGGCTCTGGTGAATTCTCTCGCCCTCCCGCGCTTCTGACTGTACCCAGTGCATGTATAGACAAAACAAACAAACAAACCAGCAAACAAATAAATAAAGCATGCCTCTATAAAAAAAAAAAAAAAAAAAGTATTTGGCATGATATATTTCATTTGAGAAGAACTTAGTCTTAAGAAATTCAAGATGGGGCCTCCCCTGGTGGCGCAGCAGTTGAGCACTGGGCTGCGAAGCTGCCTGCAGCCAGCCTCTGCACCGCTGGTTCAATCCCTGGCCGCCGGCAAGGGTCCCACATGGGGTGACAGACCTCTCCTGCCGCGCCCACTGCTCCCCTCAGTAGTGTGTTTCGTCTGTCTGCCTGTTCTGCTCCCCACTCTGGCTCTGGTGAATTCTCTCACCCTCCCGTGCTTCTGATTGTACCCAGTGCTTGTATAAATAAATAAATCTTTAAAAAAATCAGAAGAAGCCTGTATTTCATTTTTTAAAAAAAGAAATTCAAGATGCCCCATGAAAGTTATAAAAATTTCCAAGTTTTTCTGGTCCAAAGTTTGGAGAAACCTTGGAAATGTGTGAAAATGGACAAAGTGAAAATATTTATATATCAGAATAGAAGCTTAATGAAATGAGTTACTGAGATTGTGTATAGAAGTTGAATTCAAAGACATGGAAATTATAGGATTCAGGTAACAAGAACAAGGTCTATGGCAATCTGATCAAAGAATAACAATTTCTGGCTTGGATTCATGGAGCCTTGTGATTTTTTTTCATTGCATTTTTTTAAATTGAGTCTTGTAGTCTAGGGTATTTCTTCAGTCCAAGGACAATAGGCCTTTTATATAACTACCATCCCAATGATTTTTTTAAGGGCACTCTTTATGTCTTTGTTCCTCAGACTGTAGATGAAGGGGTTTAGCATGGGTGTGACCACGGTGTACATCACCGAGGCTATTGCACTTGCGTGTGAGCTGAGGGAAGCAGCAGAGCTAAGGTATACACCTAGACCTGTACAATAAAATAAGGAGACAACTGAGAGGTGAGAGGCACAGGTGGAAAACGCCTTATACTTCCCCTGAATTGATGGGATTCCACATATGGAGGAAACTATCTTAGAGTAGGAGTAAAGAATCCCAGTAAGGGGTCCACCACCCAGCAGCCCAATTGCAAAATATAATACAATGTCATTAAGAAAGGTGTCAGAACAGGCAAGTCGGGCCACCTGATTGATCTCACAGAAAAAGTGGGGGATTTCCAAGACTGAACAGAAGGACAGTCTCAGTACCATTAAACTTTGTAATAAAGAATTCAGGGAGCTCATGATCCAGGATATCATAACCAGCAGTCCACAGAGCTGTGAATTCATGATGACCATGTAGTGTAGTGGGTGGCAGATGGCTACGAAACGATCATAGGCCATCGCAGCCAGGAGAAAGTTGTCCAATATGGCAAAGATTATGAAAAAGTACATCTGGGTGATGCACGCTCTGTAGGTTATCACTTTGCTTTGTGTATGAATGTTCTGCAGCATCTTGGGGATGGTGGTGGAGGTGAAGCAGATGTCTACAAAGGACAGGTTGGCGAGGAAGAAGTACATGGGTGTGTGGAGGTGGGAGTCTAGGCTCACAGCCAGGATGATGAGCAGGTTTCCAAATACAGTGATCAGGTACATGGAGAGGAAAAGGCCAAATATGAGAGGCTGCAATTCTGGTTCCTTTGATAATCCAAGAAGAAAAAATTCTGAAACATGAGTATAATTTTCTAGTTCCATGTGGTGGAGGTGACTAACAGGAAGGAAAAATAAAAATAGCATGGCTAATTTTCTCAGTAATATGTATTACCAACATTACATAGTTGAAATTCTATCATTTACATTTACATTCAAAAATCAATACCCACAGTTTTTATATGGAATGTTTCCCTTTCAGGGAATTCCCCTATGCCATCTCTGGACAGGAATACTTGTCCTACTGTCAGTCTTTTCCCCACATGGTCACATATTCTACAATTTAAAAAATATTTATTTTATATTTTTTAATGTGAGCAGTTTTTACAGTTTAAATTCCAGGCACATATATTATACTACATTTGATTACTATTACCCCAATTTCATTGGTTTTAAGTGACATGTACCATGGCATTTAAGGTATACAACATAATGATTTGAAAAAAGTCTATACTGCAAGTGAATAATACAATAAGATTAGTTATTATCCTTCACCTCACAAAATTATATTTTTTTCCTTTAATGAGAAATTTTCAGGTTTAGTCTTTTAGCAACTTTCAAATATATAATACAATATTGCTAACTGTAGTCACCAGGTTGTCTATTATATTCCCATGTCTTACTTATTTTATAATTGGAAGTTTGTGACATTTGACCACCTTTATATATATTCCCCAACTGTACCTACGGCAAGTCCCAATCTTTTCTGTGTATCTATCAGTTTGTTTTTTCTAGGTACCACATATAATTGAGATCATACAGTATTTGTCTTTGTCTGATTTATTTCACTTAGAAAGTCTTATGGGTATAAGGGGTTGATAACTTCTTAAATCTGATCACACACCAAAACTTTATAACTTTTATTTTTTCCCCTCATTTTATATTTTTGATATCTCATTTGACATCTTTATATTATCTGTATCCCTTGACTATTTACTATAGTTTCAGTTAGGTTTACTTTTGCTTTTTAATCATTATGCTTGTTTTATAAGTAATTGATCTTTCTACAAGATATTGATGTTGAAAGACAGAAATAGTAGAATAATATACCATGTGTGGCTAATAGGAAGTGTCACCACTCAGGAAAATTTACTGACCTTTAATAGAAGTCCTGTATGTATAATATGTAAAGCTGATTTCTACTTGCCCCCCCCGAACTTTTAAAAGAAAATATTTATAATTTTATATTTCTAAATGTAAAGATGTTGCCAAGGTATGATAGTTAGAAAATCACACATAGAAAATCAAACATGTTGTAGAAAATCACCCATTTGTTTTTTTAAAAATCATGGAAAGTTGCCCAGATCCCTGGCATCAATCAGCCCACAACCTCAGGGTGATCCTACAAGGCTCATCCCCAGCTTGGGCCCCAGTCTTTCAGCCCCAGACACCACCACATGCTTGGATCCAGCCCCAAACACCATAAGGGTAAATTACCAGCACCACACCAAACCCCAGGAGGCCCCAACTGCTGTGCCCACCAACCAGTAAAGGTCCAAAACATTGGGTGAGGAGGACCATAATATCACAAAAGCCCCAACTACAAAGGAACATTCCAAAATCAAATTATGAGGAAAAAGAAAAATACATACGGCCAAGCAAGGTCCTAGAGAAATAAAACACCACAAAAAGAAAATAAATACCTACAACTAAGTCACAAAGACATGAAAGAGCTTTTCTTCCTTTCAGATACAGATCTAATGCAGTTTAGAGATATGCAAGAAAACTCAGAGACACAAATGAATGCTATTAGAAGCACAATCAATGAACAGAAGAACAAAATTGAAATTCTAAGTCAGAAAATTAGTAGAAATGCAAAAAGCAGAAAGGTCCATGTTAGAGATGAAAATTTCTGGAAAAAAGCCAAGGGAGAGAATAAGGCAAGTGGAAGAACAAATTAGTAAGCTCAAAGAGGCAAATGGGGTAAGACACAAAATATAAAAAGAAAAAGAGATACAAAGGGGGAAAATGAAGAAACTCTTCAAGCATTGTGTAATACCACAAGGAAGGAAATATAAGAATCATAGTCAACCCAGAAGGAGAGAAGAGAGAAAAGGGAACTGAAAAACTATATTTTTAAATATATATAGGGCTTCCCTAGTGGTGCAGTGGGTTGAGCGCAGTGCTGTGAAGCTGTCCACAGCCTCTACAGCACAGGTTCAATTCGCCACCAGTCAGGGAGATTCCCACGTGGCACAGCAGACCTCTCCTGTTCATCTGCCTGTTCTGCTCCCTGCTCTGTCTCTGGTGAATCCTCTCACCTTCCTGTGCCTCTGGCCTGTACCCCAGCTCTTGTATAAAAATAAATCTTAAAAAAAATTAAAAATTATACGTGTATATATATATATATATATTACATCACCCTTCGTTTTTGTACAAGTATGATTTCCCATGAAATTCCCCCCACCAATTCACCTGTGCACCATCACCATAGTCCCTTGTGCTCTTCCCACCCCTTTCATGATCCCTCTCCCTCCTCCTCTCCTACAGAAAGTCTCTAGTCTATGGTTGCCTATTGATTTTGATTTTTACTTTATTATAGTTCTTTTTTCCCCTGATCCCTTATTTGGTTCCTCTACAGTAAAACCATTCAATATTTTTCTTTTTATTTCTGGCTTATTTCACTGAGCATAATCCCTTCCAGCTCTATCCATGTTGCTGTGAATGGCATGAGTTTATCCTTTTTGAATGCTGAGTAATATTCCATTGTGTATATATACCATATCTTCTTGATCCAGTTATCTATTTTCGAGCATTTGGGTTGTTTCCATAGCTTACTTATTGTAAACAGTGCTGCAATAAACATAGGAGCTTCCATATGATTCAGTAATTCCACTCCTAGGACACAAAAACATTAATTCAAAAGGACATCCATATTCCTATGTTTATTGAAAAACTATTTTAAAAAATAATGAAAGAAAATCTCCCAAAGTTGAAGAGGGAAATGAACATGCAAATAAAGAAAGCCAAAAGAACAGCAAGTTACCTAAACAAAAAGGGATAAAGGAGTAAAATGTCTAAAAGTACAAGACAAAGAAAAAATTATAAAGGATTCCCAATTAACCTAACATCAGACTTCTCTGAATAAAAACTACACGCAAGAAGAGCATGAAGCAACAAATTAAAAAAAAAAACTCCAAGAGCTAGGGGGGCGGAGCAACATGGCGGCCAGGAGACGCTGCGAGTAAGATCTCCATTAAAAAAGTTAATAGGGGGCCTCCCCGGTGGCGCAGCGGTTGAGCGCTGGGTTGCGAAGCTGCCCGCGGCCTCCACGGCGCCGGCTCAATCCCCGGCTGCTCCCCAGCCACCAGAGGAGGATCCCACATGGTGCGCAGACCTGTCCTGCCACCCGCTGCTCCCCTCAGCAGTGTACTTCAGTCCTTCTGCCTGCTCTGCTCCCCACTCTGGCTCTGGTGAATTCTCTCACCCTTCCGCGCTTCTGACTGTACCCAGTGCATGTATAAACAAAACAAACAAACAAATATAATAAATAAATAAATAAAAACATGCCTCTATTAAAAAAAAAAAATGAAAAAAAAAAAAAAAGTTAATAGGGAGGAAAAGCGGCAGGTCCCAGTGAGAACCGGGACACGGAAGATAAATGGGTGACTCCAGCAAACTGCCCGAAGAAGAAAGTTGCCATAAAAGAGGACCAGAAGGGAGGGAAGCGCAGAACCCTGCTCCCCTCCCCCGCCCACAGAGGCGGCACTCTCCGACCGGCAGAGAGGAGGGAAACAACAAACTAAATCGACCAACAAGAACAAACTACGCATCAAGCGGGACTGTGAGTGGAAAGGAACTATTGCAGCCACCACACCCCGTGAATGGGAGCTGTGGAGAACCCTGCAGGATCCACCGCGGAGGTGAGCTCCAGGCGCCATTAAAGAGAGACCCCGCCCAGGAGGAGACCAGCACCAGCACACAGCCCCATGCTGCCCGGTAAGCCTGCGCGGAAAAGCGGCGCGCTGGAAAACCAAGTGCGGATCGGAATCGGGATTGCGCGGAAAAGCAGTGCAGTTGAAAAGCAAACGCGGATCCAGATCGCAGCTGCCCAGGTCCCTGCGCCTGCAACCTAGGAAGGAACCAGGCGCCCAGGCACTGGAGCAGGATTCAAAAGGCGCCATTCCCGCGCCACTGAACTGGGCTACAGCCTGAGTCCTGGAACTGAGGGCTTTGGAACTGACACCCGGGACACGAAATTAGGGGCGTGGGTTCCCCACAACGGTGGGGCACAAGGCAGACACAGCAGCCCAAAGCCGTTGAGGTTTACCCTACCATTCCCGCTCTATTCCCTGTCCCACGGGGTGGAAAATCAGCTCCGCAAGGGCTCCAGGAGAGATCTCTCGCGCCACCTAGCGACTTGAACCCAGCAGAGGCGCCTAGAGGAGCCAGTGGCCAGCTGGGGAGTTAGCCCACGCCGGGCCCCTTCCGACCAGTAGTCTGAGCCCACAGCGGGAGCGAGCACCCACAGCCGGGGCAGACCAGGCGCACAGAAGAGTGTGCCTGAGACCTGACGTGCAGGGAGTGTGTCCCACATCACCATCTTAGAACAGGGACATTTCTTCAGTAAAGACTACCTGCAGAAGGCTTCCTCAGGAGCCAGAGGTGAGCAGGGGAAGTTCGCCCACGCCAGACCCATCTGGCCTGCAGTCCAAGCCCAGAGGGAGCAGGAACCCACCGCTGGGGCAGACCAGGCGCACAGGGGAGTGTGTCCCCACATCGGCATTTTAGAACAGGGATCTTTCTCCAGTAAAGACTGCTTGAAACTGACAGATGACTCCTAGAGGAACCAGAGGAGAGCAGAGAAGCTCACCCAAGATGCCGGCCAGTCCCAACTACACAGTGTCCCAACGCATACGGCAAATAGGAAAACAGACAGTAGGGAGGAGAAGAACCACACGCAACCTAGCAACTCCCCAGGGAAAAAGCACACCACAAAAAGAAAAGCAGGCCAGATTGCAACGACAGTAACTTGGAAGAACTTCTGAGCCTTCCAGAAAGAGAATTTAAAATTGCCGTGATTAACTGAAACAGAAGTCATAAAG